TTATTTATTATATTATTATTATTTATTATATTATTATAATGTATATTTTTACACTTTTCTCTGCTTTGTTGTGAAATAATAATTTGTCCTCTTTGGGTGTTTCTGTTAAAATACGCCAATAAAAGGACAAAAATGTAAATGTTAATTCAAATTGGCCGACTTCCTGTTGGGTTTGACTCCAGAAGACTTTTTTTTTTACAGAAAGCACAAAGACACATTCTGTAGGGGGCGCTATGGAGCCAACCTTACAGAGTTTAATGTCCACAAACATCTTTAAACTTCGATCGTCTGTTGAATTGAACTTTATTGATCAGCTGTTGAACTTTACCCCAAATATAAAAGGAGGCCACGATGTCACCGTCAGAACAAGAGACCAGATCCACCAAAAACCTCCTCTACAGTCCCCAGATCTCTGATAACTTATCAATATATTGATTGTTACTGAACAACACAGTGACACTGATCAGTAAAATAACTCCATCATTGACTGAAGTCCTGTTTGCACTGCAGGAACCTCACGACCTTTGACCTGGATTAACACAATACTGCACAGGTTGTATAAATATATAAAGTGTCCAGTGTCTGTAGACGGCGCTGGGAGACGATTAATGTCCTCACGTGATGTCACTGGAGTCAGCGTTGGTGGAAGACGAGTTAGAAAGATCTGACCTCTGCAGGCTTTAGATTGCTACATTAGCTGCTATTAGCATAACACAACACAATCTCTGAGTGCAGTCGAGTCCACAGTCGTAATAAACTGTTTATTAAACAACTTCTGTACGTTTTATTAATGGATTTATGGTTTTTAGTCATTCATAACCAGAAACTGAATTGTGATTAAAGTAGTTGCTTGTTGCTGCTTCAGAATCTATTCTGTTTCTTAACTTAGAAATCCCAAAAAAGCCTTTTTAACATGTTGCAAACTCACAACTGCCGTTTTTAGTTCCTCCTAATTCAAACTTTAAACTTCCTGTTTCCTCATTTGATGGAGTTTTTTTTAAGTAAGTGTTAAGTAAGTAGTGTGTTAAACCTTTTATGTTCAGTGTGTGAGCCTCAGACTGTTTAACTGCAAACACTGAAGGTCAGAACGAGGAGCAGAAACCCAACAGGCAGAACTTCATTCAAATATTTGGTGTTTTTAGCCTCGAGTGGAGCCGACTCGTATTTTCAAAACATTTTCCTCTCGTCTTGTTTCTGGTGAAGTTTTTATCTTTTAAACAAAGTGTCGGCTCAGAGTGTAACACCCTCGCCGTGGCTCAGACCGTTCAGGTTTACAGTGCGGCGGTCAGGTCTGCGAGGCAGCCGGTGGAAAACTGTAACCTCTGAGAGACCATCTGTTGGCTGAGAGACAGCTGGACCTCCACAGGTTCAATTGTTTTCATTTAGTCCCGACTGTCTCACTTCTTAAAGTCCAGGTTATATGAGACATTTAAGGGGCTTCGACAAACAACTAACTAACTTAACTTTAACTTAACTTTAATAAATAATGAATAAATCTCAGTCTATAAAATGCCAGAAAACTTCCCAGGTGACGTCTTCAAATGTCTTGCTTTGTCCACAACGAGGAGCAGAAACCCAACAGGCAGAACTTCATTCAAATATTTGCCGTTTTTAGCCTCGAGTGGAGCCGACTCGTATTTTCCTCTCGTCTTGTTTCTGGTGAACTTTTCATCTTTTAAACAAAGTGTCGGCTCAGAGTGTAACACCCTCACCGCTCCTCAATCCAGACACAAACCTTTAGGTTTATATCTCACTGGAGAAGCTGGAAACATTAAAAGTTTAACCACTGACACACTGATTCTGCAGGTTTCATCAGGTAAAAGACACTTTGAGATGATTCTGAATGCATTTTAAAGAATTATTTCACATATAAAGGAACAGGTTTTGGTTCCATGTCGGCAACTTTATACATTAAAGAACTACACTGGAGCATCCTACAAGAACTTCATTACCCAGAATTCCTCAGATGTGACATTAGTAAATCCAGTACTTCAGTGTTTGTTGGTTTTCACTTCCCACAGTTCACTGATGGTAAAACCCGTCCGATGTCTGACGGTGAATAAAACCTCTCAGACTGTTTGAGTTCGGTTGTAAAAGCAGAAAATGTGTCAGCATCAACACGTGTGGAGCAGACTGCTGACAGGAAACAGGAAGTTTGGCAGATTAAAAGATTCTTCAGAGAACGTCCAAACTCCACGTTGACATAAAGAGTCTCTGACTAACACAATAAAGTCGATGATCAGATACGTTACTGAAGCTTAAAGAGGAATTCCACCATAAAACATATTTAATGAGCTGTAAACTGAATTATATCTGAGCTGACAGACTGTCCCGATTGGACCTGACAGGAGCTGTCGGATTCAGGCCGGACAAAGAATCAAAGCTCTGGTACCAACTAGTCAATAATCAATAATCAATCAATAATAAACGTCCAGGCTGTGATTGGTCGGACGCTGTTGTTTGTGAATCTTTTGATTTGTGTTGCACATTAACTGAATCATCGTCGTTGATCCTGCAGCAGCTCAGACTCTGAGCCTGTAAATCTTTTCTATTCTGAGCTCATCAAAGATTTACTTCCTGTTACGCAACAGCGTCTAAGACCGGCCCACTGTTCTTCTTCTGTGGTGAAACTCCCTGGTTTAAAACCCGATCAGCAGAAACATCGGGATCGATAATTCTCTACAAACTCACGTTCTCTTAAACCCGTCCGCCTGCCGAGAGCTCCTACATTTCCCAGAATGCTTTTCAGTGAGCAGCTCGAGGTTTAATGATGATGTGACAACAACAGAATAAAATATATAAATATATCAATAAATTATCATTTCAGTTATTTTAAAAGCAAAAATATAAAACATCTGCTGTTAGCTTAGCCACAACACTAATGATAATAAACAAATGTTTGTTGGTTTATTTGAGTCAAACAGTCTCGACTACGTAGATTAACGAAGTGGAACCAACGTTCAGCAGCGTTCCACCCAGACACATTCAGCCGTACGCTGTTAGCATTGTGCGCTGAGGTTACGAGCAGATTGGCGTGAGTCGGTCACATTACGGCGAGCACAAATAAAACAGAAGAAGATCTGCATTGATTAACTGTTTGGGAACAGAGAGAGTCGATGAGACGACTGATTGGATGAACCATCAACCAATCACAGAGCGCTAACAGCTGCAGCAGCCAGTAGTTTCTCACAGGACGCCGACTGATCCGAACTCCGGTTGAACCATTAACAGTTTATATCACCGAGCTTCCAGCAACTGTGTTACACCTGCATTCTCTCTAACGGCCAGCAGGGGGCGACTACACTGGTTGCAATAACACACAGATACCATTCAGTCTTATGGACGACGATAACGACTACAAACCGTTTATAAACCAAAGTGTGACTCCTGGAAACCTTTACTCTCCTAATAATCTGAATCAGATCAATAACTGATCAATAACTGATCAGCTTCTACTTGTAGTTTGTGATCAATAAAGTGTAAAACTCAGCAGGTCAGATTCACGTTTCTACATCAACAAGAGATCACAGCCACCGACCCACCGAAGCCTCGACCGCTCCGTCACTTTCTATCAATAACCGCAGGAACAACAGCTGTGGGGAAGAATCACTGACAATAATTCCTACGGTCCTTAAACTACACACAAACTACAGTAAACTGATACAGATTATTATTAGAGTTTAAACTGCAGAAAACACAGAA